ATGCACCACACAACCTCTGTTATGTATCTAAGCACTTTGTGTATTTGCATACATTGATACAATGAGTTAGAAATGGGCAAGGTTCAATATGGCCAGGGTGCTGAATCCATATCCTTATATAAAATAATATCTAATCAGAATACCAGGAAAATTAATCAACTGTACCTGTCTCAGGAAACCTGTCGGCGACATTGCTCCATGAAATTTCTTGTTTTTGTGAAAAATAGAAAACTATTAACATAAGCAATAAGGCACAGACGACAGCTACCCAATACGTTACCCGCGCCATGGTGGTTGTCACTGAGTCACCCGTTCTCGACTTGTGCGCATGCGTAAACACAAAAATCCATAGTGGAGTAGGCGGTTTGTGTCTTTCAGTATTCATTCGATAAATGATAGCTTTGTTAATGGTACTGGGATCCCGAAACCGGCGGTGTTGACCTGAGTGGAGTGTCATTTTCAATGGACATGCAAGCATTGGGCAGGCTTTTGTATCGTTACCGGTTTATAATTTTATTCAATAAAAATGTTCTGGGTTCTTATCAATGTCAATGTGTGGACAGGTTAACCGAATTTATACGTTGACGAAGACGAAACAATCCGTTGAGTTCAAATTTCTTCAGTTGGCCATACGATACATGGCAAACAAATTCAGATGAGAACAATGCGCTGGATTACCGTCTCAGGTGGATGACAGGAGCTTAGCTCAATCTCTGGGCGTTATCCTACTGCAGTCATGTACACAGGCAGTCGGAATACCGGACAGGTCACAATATATATAGAGTTATAGACAGTAAGGGACAGACGAAGAAAGAGACAACAAGGGGCAGGTTAAAAAACAATTACATTACATTTGATTTATTGATGCGATGTCATACACGGCCAAGGGGATGACCAGTTAAGGTTATAAATGTCATACACAGTAATCAATGAAAGTGAATGGCACGGGCTGGCTGACAGGACAATCAATGTACGATGCAGCGGTGATAAGGGCGACCAGCACATACCCACATTTGTGTTTACACCTGTACAGACACAAGTGTGAGCCGGCGTCCTGTACAAACACGCATTCAGGGATATTCGCACTATCGGCAGATACTCACGTCCCAACCTAAATGCTTATAACCTATAAATCCTAACAAACACACACACGCGCGCACGCACGCACGCACACAGGCACACGTAACAGACACAGACACACACACACACATCCTCAAACAAACACACACGCACACACGCGCGCGCGCACGCACGCACACAGAGGCACGGGCACAGTCTGTAACAGACAGACCGACAGACAGACAGTAAGACATTTTCGCATTTATGTATTTTGATACACTTCATGTGCGAAGAAAAAGCAGCTTGAAACAATATTCCCGGAGCCAGAGTGAGTAATTGAGTTCAATTTAAGTCACATCGCCAGTATGGTGGCTATAAAAGATGTATATAAAAATAAAGCCAACTGCAGTAAATACCTATATAAAAGACAGTGGAAACACTAGATTATCACATAATTTATCTTAAAACTAGTACATAACCATATAAATATGTTACTCTAATCCAACAATACACTGAAAACGGCCTACAGATCGCCGGCATTACTGAAGGTGGATCACCATACAGGAGACCATGGGGACTTAGTTTCTTCCTTCACGAGCCCTATGGGCATATATATTTTATGTATTTTTCACATAGCCACCAAATTCTGAAACATGGGTCGGTCGGAAAATAAAAATTAAAGACAAAATTATCTGAATAATGTTCTTGATTCTCATTTATTGTAATTTGTATTACTATTTCTCGTGTTTTTTGGACTTGTGGTAGCGACTGATTAAGAGACAAACATTTTATATGACGTTTAAGGTTAGAGTCGGCGGTGTTGGCAATAAAATTAGAAGGGTGGGTCGGAGGGTGAGAAACACAGAAAATAAAAATGCTGTCTTATCTGGATTTCATAGAGACAGGAAGCCTTCATATTGATCGTCATAACATGATCGTGCCGACATCCATTGTCAGTTTGTCAGTATGCATTATTTTGTATCCGTCCCATTTTGCAAAGCGCCATGATACCGGGTGTGAATTGTGCCGTGGCATTCTAATCATCTGTGGGGCATTGGAATGGTTTATTCCGCTTCAGTGCATCCTAACATGGTAAACTGAAACATGAACCTGTTCAGACAATGGCCTACTTTTCAGCCGATCCCAGTTTTCTCGTGTAAAAGTGAAAATACACTACAAACAACTATGTTTACAAGAAATTCCAATTCCTTGTTTCATAAGAAAATGGTATTTACAAATGAATTTTAATTTTAACTTTAAAAATATCGTATTTATATATTTTATGACGAGGTTTAGGCAGCATGACGTTAACTAAGACGTCACAGACAGACCCTGTTTGAAAAGTCGTAAAATGATTCACAATTCATCATTTTATTAAGTGTATTTTTGTAAGGTACAATGTGCTTGGATATAATAGCAAAGTCGTACACGACCGCCAAACTTTTCTAGCGGCCAAGCCTCGTTTTGAGATTCCCACGCCGTTTGTCAGAGCATGCTGCACGACGTGTTTGAAAGGAATAGAAGGTGCGTGTTTGAAATAATTTGAGTTGTTGTTGTTGTTTTTAAATACAACCTACTTTACCTACGAAAAAATAGTACAGTCAAAAACAAAATTCTGGACTGGTTATATATTGTACTAAGTTGCGCAATAGGTTGGACGGAACCCAGTCAGCAGGAAACGAGACTGCTATGTAATCACTGTTTTGACGTGGAATTGTTACCAATATAATCGATCTATGTATTTTATTTATCCTGATTGTGTACAGATCGCTCTCCTATAATTGGAGTAGTGCGCGCACGCACACACACACGCGCATGCTGATGTGTAAATCAGCTGTTACCACAGATACACTGCAAACACCAACCTATGATGCACAGTAGTGAGTGACTTTAGTTTTACGCCGCACTCAGCAATATAAATATTCCAGCTATATGGCGGCGGTCTGTGAATAATCGAGTCTGGACCAGACGATCCAGTGACCAACAGCATGAGCATCGATCTACGCAATTGGGAACCGATGTCATGTGGCAACCAAGCCAGCAAGCCTGACCACCCGATCCTGTTAGTCGCCTCTTACGACAAGCATGGGTTACTGATGATCAATTCTAACCCGGATCGTTACAGGTTAGTTGGATTATAAACAGATACGACAGATTCCTTATCCACATCCATAAGATATCTCTGCTCAAAGCAGAGTCGATTGTACCATTCTGACTATCTGACGAGTATTATGTGTTTCTGCAGAACGATGTTGTTTGTACACAATTGAGTCTACTACACAATCAGTGATTGTCACCATGCGATACGATGACAAAGCATGTGTTTATGAATCACTATGAAATAGTGAGTGAGTGGGTGAGTATGGTATTACGCCGCTTTTCGAAATATTCCAGCAACGTTAAAATATGGCACTTATTGGTACCTGCCTGGTGCTCGGCATTAACGGGCACAACAAGGACTGGTCGGCTCGCAGTCAGTATATATAACTGCAGTATGGTATCTCAGTGAGCAAGCACTATAAAACCAGCTTAAGTCTGGGCTAGTACAAGCAGCCACACATACACATGCGTGCACGTCGTCATATGAGCGAAATATTCTTACGTACGACGTTAAACCCTATTTCACCTCACCTATGTCACGATGAAACTGATGCTTTTAAGGGGTACTGAATCATTAGGATATTTCAATCGTTTGGTAGTATACTGATAATTTTTATTTACGTCAACGGTTCGATAAATAGTGACGGAATTATATTGCTTGCTTTTGCTTGGTAGTGAGAAACAGTCATCCTGAAACTGGTAATATATGAAAATAATTTATTTATTTTTTTTTTTAAATCAGCTTTACCGCATGTGTTTGTTCACTGTTAGTGAATCCAATCTAAACTTCTTTTAAACTAGACAAATGCTGAATGAACAGGTTGGGCATATGACGCGAAACTAAAAAAATGTTGAACATGTCGGTGCAGCCTCCGTTTATGTGTACGAGGGTTATCTGTTATGTGTGTGAGGGTTATCTGTTATGTGTATGGGGGTTATCTGTTATGTGTATGGGGGTTATCTGTTATGTGTATGAGGTTATCTGTTATGTGTATGAGGGTTATCTGTTATGTTTATGAGGGTATCTGTTATGTGTATCAGGGCTATCTGTTATGTGTATGAGGGTTATCTGTTATGTGTATGAGGGTATCTGTTATGTGTATCAGGGTTATCTGTTATGTGTATGAGGGTTATCTGTTATATGTATGAGGGTATCTGTTATGTGTATCAGGGTTATCTGTTATGTGTATGAGGGTTATCGGTTACGTTTGTGAGTGTTCTCTGTTATGTGTAAGGGGCTATCTGTTATGTGTAAGAGGGTTATCTGTTATGTGTAAGGGGTGTCTGTTATGTGTATGAGGGTTATCTGTTATGTGTAAGGGGTGTCTGTTATGTGTATGAGGGTTATCTGTAATGTGTGAGTGTTCTCTGTTATGTGTAAGGGGGTATCTGTTACGTGTAAGAGGGTTATCTGTTATGTGTAAGGGGTATCTGTTACGTGTAAGAGGGTTATCTGTAATGTGTAAGGGGTGTCTGTTATGTGTATGGGGTTTTTCTGTTGTGTGTATGGGGGTTATCTGTTGTGTGTATGAGGTTTATCTGTTATGGGTATGATGGTTGTCTGTTATGTGCATGGGGGTTATCTGTTATGAGTATCAGGGTTATCTGTTATGTGTATGAGGGTTGTCTGTTATGTGTATGAGGGTTATCTGTTATGTGTATGAGGGTTGTCTGTTATGTGTATGAGGGTTATCTGTTGTGTGTATCAGGGGTATCTGTTATGTGTATCAGGGGTATCTGTTATGTGTATGAGGGGAATCTGTTGTTTGTATGATGGTTATCTGTTATGTGTATTAGGGGTATCTGTTATGTGTATTAGGGGTATCTGTTATGGGGAGCGCCACCTGTAATGGCGACGACAAGACGTGCTGTACAACATGGGGATAAATATTGACGTGTGGCGTGCGCGTATTGGGTGTTTCACACAGCCCAAAGGGACTAAACGTGAGTTAATACATGGTATCAAACTATGTGGGGGTTTATTATCTCGACAACTGCACATTTTGTTAATTGCGGCACTTCTTCTCTTACTGAGTGGTAATGTGGAACGTAACCCGGGCCCGAGGACCACGCGTCAGAGTCAGCTGGCTGTGTCCGCTTCAGGTGTGAGACACACAGGTGTGCAAGGTAACAGCGACCATGGAGATATTCTACGAGGTATAGAAGAGCAATTAAAATCCTTGAACACGAGGTTTACTAATTTCGAAACATCATTACAAACAATCCGTGACGAGCAGAGCGACATGTGGCGAGAGATGGACAAACTCACAGACGCAAACGCGGCGCAATCACAGAAGGTAGAGCAGCTCGAATCCCAGTCGAGGAGAGAAAATCTGCTTTTCTTCGGTATACCAGATGATGGGGGAAAGGAAAACTCGAATGACTCTGAAGAAAAGGTGAGAGACTTTCTGAAAACTAAACTTGAAGTAGAGTCAAGCCGTGCTGATTGTATACCCATTGAACGTGCTCACCGCCTACCCACCAAGAGACACCCACGGCCCATAATTGTGAAATTCTCTGCTTTTAAAGATAGAGAATATGTCAGTAAAATAGCCAAGGAAAAACTTAGTGGTAACAGAGAGGTTCGGGTATCCCCCGACTTCACCCAGGCCGTAAGGAACACACGGAGACAACTGGGGAAGCTTCTGCAAACATACAGAGAAAAGGGGGAAGATTGTTATATATCTTATGACAAACTCGTGGTTAATAACACGGTCTACACATATGACTGGGATAAGGACTCATTGCGTGAGGTGGGAAGACGGCGGATCCCCCCAGCGAGCCGTGCTTCACCCACTCCCTCTAGGGCACGGGACCGGTCTGGCACGCGACGAGAGTCGCCGGGCCAGTATAGCAGACGACGAGACTCTTTGGACAACTCACAGCATAGTTAGCGAGGTGGCCGAGGCCGGGCATCAGCAGCCCGTACGAAGCTAAGTACACATTTCATTATAGATGGAAAACTCAATAAGACAATATCAACAATTAATGGCAATGATAACGATAACAACGGTGAAAAAAGTAATTATAATACATTTCTATGTTGGAACGTAAATGGCCTTAATTCTAAATTAAGTCAATTGGCTAACCTCACAGGGTTATGTCAACAATTTAATGTCATCGCTTTCGTGGAGACGTGGGCAAAGAACCCAGTAGATTTTGCTACTCTGTTTCCAGGATATATCTCCTACCAGTGTGTGCGAGAACGCATCCACTCTGTCGGACGATTCAGTGGCGGTATCGCTGTGTATGTGAGACAGTCCATCGCATCAAGATTCACCCGTATACACGGCGAGTGGTCAGACTGTATATTTTTCAGAAGCGACATTATGAACGACCTCGCCAATAAACCCACGATATTTGGGTTCGTATATGTGACTGATACACAGAACTCCGTTGATGTAGGACTTTCAGGAATCGGACTCCTTGAGAGTAGACTATATACTTTAACCCGAGAACATCCCGATGCATCGCTTGTTTTATTTGGAGATTTTAATGCCCGTATAGGCGACAAACAGTGTTATATAGAACATGACTCCACTGAGTATTTACCAATTGAAGATATAGACTATGAGAGTGATCCATTTAACATTCCTAGATCATCCAAAGATAAAATAGTCAATTCAGAGGGATTAAAACTCCTTGATATATGCCGCAATTTTAACATACATGTTTTAAATGGTAGAAACGGGAACGATAAAAATGGAGAATTTACATTCATTGGACACCAAGGAAACAGTGTTGTGGATTATTGTTTGGTTTCCTCATGTTTATATAGATATTTCGAGAACTTTGATATTCTAGCGCAATCCGAATCGGACCACTTGCCTGTAATAGTAGATATGAAAACATCACATGACATGACACGTGACAGCAATCACTCCGAGCATGCGCGTGCAGAGGTACACAACATTGAGACAGAGCTGTGGGACGCTAGCCGTAAGGGTGAGTTTATTCAATACATTTCAGATAATATTAATGAATTCAGCATAATATTTCATGATGTATTACATGACAGTGTTGAAGGTGCTATTACATCGCTGAATGACTTTATCCGTAGAGCCATGCATGCACCCAGGGAACAAACACACCGACCCACGAGAACACGTGCACACTCACGCTCACGCGCTCGCCCACAGCACACACGTGTACAGCCCAGGTGGTTCGACCGTGAATGCGAACAGGCTAAAAAGACATAAGTATGTTTTACTAAATAGATTCAGAAAATCAAATAACTCACTGCATTGTAAACATTATCTAAGGGCAAAGAAGGATTTTAAAACACTTTGTGATAGAAAGAAATCAGATTATGAAAAAAGCATTTTAAACGAAATTGTTGATGCTGCAAAGAAACAAGACTGTCGACATTTCTGGAAATCTATAAAGAAATATTGTTTTTGTAGGGAAAATATATCTGAAAATATATCAGTTGACGAATGGTTTAACTATTTCAAAAATCTGCTCGCTGGAGATACGAACAACATTGATAATTCCTTTGGGGAACATGTTCTTAGCTATATAAGTAATCACAACTTTAATGACTGTGAGGATTGTATTACTTCTGATGAATACCTTGGTAATCGTATAACTGATAACGAGATATTGTGTGCAGTAAAAAGTCTGAAATGTGGAAAATCACCCGGGGTAGATGGTATTCAAGTTGAAGTTTTTTAAAGAATGTATTTCTTTATTGCTTCCTTTTATGAATAGTCTATTTAATCGAGTTCTAGACAGCGGCGTTTTTCCAGATTCCTGGAATGTAGGATTAATTGTACCTCTGCATAAGTCGGGTGAAAGGGGTGATCCAAACAATTATAGAGGTATTGCATTATTGAATACACTAAACAAAATATTTACCACTATATTAGATAATCGCATTAAGGCTTGGATTTCCACTCGTGAACTTTTATCTGAGTGCCAAGCGGGATTTCGAGAAGAGTATTCAACTACGGACCATATATTTACTCTCAACAGTATTATCCATAAATATCTGCGGAAGAAAGGGGGGAAGTTTTATTGTCTTTTCGTAGATTTTAAGAAAGCGTTTGATTCCGTTAATAGGTCAAAACTGTTATATGTACTACTACAGTCAGGTATACATGGCAAACTCCAACGTCTTTTACGTAATATGTACACCAATGTGAGAGCATCTGTTAGAACCAGTAAATTTCAAATGAGTGATATATTTGATACATATGCCGGAGTGAGGCAAGGTTGCATTCTATCACCTGTACTTTTCCTGTTATATGTTGAAGAACTTGTTAAGGAAATGTTATTAAATGATACGAGAGGTGTATTTATTAACGAACATATCAGAGATCTTGCAATAATGCTATTTGCAGATGATGTCGTGATTCTTGCCGATTCTGTTGTCCAGTTACAATGCAAGATAGATACTCTAAATGAATATTGTTTGAAATGGGGTCTTCAGATAAATATTAGTAAAACTAAAGTAATGGTTTTTAAAAATGGGGTAAAATCTCTAAAAGTGAAAAATGGTTCCTTAATGGCCAAAAATTGGAGGTGGTGTCATATTACAAATATTTAGGTATAATATTTTCGTGTAGAAATATATTCTCCAGAGCCTGTGAAACATTATCTATGCAAGCTGAACGAGCCCTACATGTCATAAAGAAATTCATATGCAAATATAAAGAATTACCGATCCATGCATCATTTAAACTGTTTGATGGAAAAATTCAACCAATTTTGTTGTACGGCTCTGAAATATGGGGCATTAACATAAACAAGAATATTGAAAAGGTACATTCAAAGTTCTGTAAGTTCTTGTTGCGTGTTGGCTACAGAACTGCGAACAAGGTTATTTTAGCTGAATGTGGACGTTTTCCACTGTTTATTAACGCCCGATGTCGGGTTATTTCATATTGGCTAAGATTGATGAGACAACCAATTTCACGATATTCAAGATGTAGTTATGAAATGCTTAAAACACTAGATGATACCGGAGATATTAATTGGGTTTCATTCGTTAGAACTATTCTTTTTAGTCATGGCTTTGGAAATGTATGGATCGCCCAAAATGTAAGTAATACACAATATTTCATCAAATTATTCAAGCAGAGATGCAAAGACATTTATCAACAGGACTGGTATAATGAAATAACGTCATCAACCTGTGTCAACTTTTATTCAGAATATAAATATTGTATTAATACAGAAATTTACCTTTCAAAGATTAAATCACCACAACTTAAGCGTACGCTTACTAAATTTAGATGTAACGCTTACAACTTCAAAGTCCAAGCGGCGCGATTTGCCAAAACTTCAAATGCAATAGATATCCAATGTCCATTCTGCAATTTATCACAAGAAGATGAGTACCATGTATTACTTGTATGCCCGAAATATTTAGAAATAAGAGAAACATATTTGCCTTATTTTTTCTATAACCAACCGTCGAGACATAAATTCTGTATGCTACTTCGCACAGAAAACATTGACTTGTTGTTTAAGCTAGCCCTTGTGTTGTACCACATACTTATGTTGAGAGAAAAAATGTAAATTGTGAATGGGTGTTTATGGATTTATTGATGTTCCTATAACTCGCGTATTTACAGGTTGCGCATAAATGCACTGCTATTATTGTACACATGTACTATTGGCCTCAGGGCCACATATACAAATAAATATGTCTGTCTGTCTGTCTGTCTGGTATCTGTTATGTGTATGAGGGTTATCTGTAAGGTGTATGAGGGTTATCTGTTATGTGTATGGGGGTTATCTGTTATGTGTATGGGGGTTATCTGTTGCTGTATGGGGTTATCTGTATGGGGGTTATCTGTATGGGGTTATGTGTATGGGGTTATCTGTTATGTGTATGGGGTTATCTGTTATGTGTATGGGGTTATCTGTTATGTGTATGGGGGGTTATCTGTTATGTGTATGAGGGTTATCTGTTGTGTGTATGGGGTTATCTGTTGTGTGTATGAGGTGTATCTGTTGTGTGTATTAGGGTTATCTGTTATGTGTATTAGGGTTATCTGTTATGTGTATTAGGGTTATCTGTTATGTGTATGAGGGTTATCTGTTATGTGTATGGGTTATCTGTTATTGGTATGATGGTTATCTGTTATTGGTATGATGGTTATCTGTTATTGGTATGATGTTATCTGTTGTGTGTATGAGGGTTATCTGTTATGTGTATGGGGGTTATCTGTTATGTGTATCTGGGTTATCTGTTATTGGTATGAGGGTTATCTGTTATGTGTATTAGGGTTATTTGTTATGTGTATTAGGGTTATCTGTTATGTGTATGGGGGTTATCTGTTATGGGTATGATGGTTATCTGTTGTGTGTATGAGGGTTATCTGTTGTGTGTATCTGGGTTATCTGTTATTGGTATCGGGGTTATCTTTTATTGGTATGATGGTTATTTGTTGTGTATGGGGGTTATCTGTTATGTGTATGGGGGTTATCTGTTGTGTGTATGGGGGTTATCTGTTATGTGTATGAGGGTTAGCTGTTGTGTGTATGAGGGTTATCTGTTATGTGTATGGGGGTTATCTGTTATTTTGTATGATGGTTATCTGTTATGTGTATCTGGGTTATCTGTTGCACCGGGTGTGTATGGGGGTTATCTGTTATGTAATATGGCGGTTATCTGTTATGTGTATGGGGGTTCTGTTATGTGTATGGGGTTATCTGTTATGGTATGATGGTATGATGGTTTATCTGTTATGTGTATGAGGGTTATCTGTTGTGTGTATCTGGGTTATCTGTTATGTGTATCTGGGTTGTCTGTTGTGTATGGGGGTTATCTGTTATGTGTATCAGGGTTATCTGTTATGTGTACGGGGTTATCTCTTAGGTGAAAGGGTTATCTGTTATGTGTATGAGGGTGATCTGTTATGTATAAGGAGGTATCTGTTATGTGTATCAGGGTTTTCTGTTAAGTGTGCAAGGGTTATCTGTTATGTGTATCAGGGTTCTCTGTTGTGTGTATCCGGGTTATGTGTATGAGGGTATCTGTTATGTGTATGGGGGTTATCTGTTGTGTGTATCAGGGTTCTCTGTTATGTGTATGAGGGTTTCTGTTATGTGTATTGGGGTTATCTGTTATGTATAAAGTGGTGATCTGTTATGTGTATGAGGTTATCTGTTATGTGTATGGGGTATCTGTTATGTGTATGAGGGTATCTGTTATGTGTATGAGGGTATCTGTTATGTGTATGAGGGTATCTGTTATGTGTATGAGGGTTATCTGTTATGTGTATGGGGGTTATCTGTTGTGTGTATCTGGGTTATCTGTTATGTGTATGAGGGTTTCTGTTATGTGTATGGGGGTTATCTTTTGTGTGTATGGGTGTTATCTGTTAAGTGTATCAAGGTTATCTGTGGTGTGTATGAGGGTTATCTGTTATGTGTATTGGGGTTATCTGTTATGTATAAAGTGGTGATCTGTTATGTGTATTGGGGTTATCTGTTATGTATAAAGTGGTGATCTGTTATGTGTATGAGGTTATCTGTTATGTGTATGGGGGTTATCTGTTATGTGTATGGGGGTTATCTGTTATGTGTATCAGGGTTATTTGTTTTGTGTATCAGGGTTATCTGTTTTGTGTATCAGGGTTATCTGTTATCTGTATAAGGGTTATCTGTTATCTGTATCAGGGTTATCTGTTATGTGTTTCAGGGTTATCTGTTATGTTTATGAGGGTTATCTGTTATGTGTATGGGGTTATCTGTTATGTGTATGAGGTTAACTGTTAGGTGTATGAATTATCTGTTATGTGTATCAGGGTTATCTGTTATGTGTATGAGGTTTATCTGTGATGTGCATGGAGGTTATATAATCTTTCTATGTCATCTAAAAGTGAGTGATTATAGTTTTACGCCGCTTTTAGCACGATTCCAACATTATCACGACTGGGGGACAACAGATTTGATTTATTTCTGCAAGAGAATGGATTGGGTACAAGTTATTC